GGTGAATTTGTTACGAACAAAGTTATCGTCCAACCGACTGACCTTACTGCTTCCCCTTTTTCATTTTCGAGAATCATTAACCAAACGATCAACTACTGAGTACGATTCCTATGGTCCCTTCAGTCGCCCCGTTAGCTGTCAACAAGTCCAACCATTATTGACGTCCGAACATGTGCTGAGCAGGGAGCCAAGAAAGGGGAGATCGTAAATCACGGTAGGCTTATCATAACCCGTGTAAATACCTAGTTGACTGGACTATACTCACTCACCACTTTAATCGCAAACACAATCCAAAAAGAGTCCCTTCTGTGTGCAACAAACATCAAATCTTGATCTATCAGTACCGACGCCGCAGTTTGAATTTTGCACCTTGGCCGACATGGTACATTTAGTTCAGCCGATCTCACTTTCATTTCTCAACCGACTTAGTTCCAATTTTCCGGTACGGTTCTTAGTTCAAAGATTGCTTGTCTACCTGACAGTGTTCACTTGGCCTGATGAAGCTTTTGTGTCAAAAGCGAAACGTTGCCCAAATAAAAACTACCGATTGTTTACCAAGCTCTTCCTAAAAAAGATGCTTGTCTACCATTTTCACGGTGCATCCACTTGAAACCATCGGTTGCGTGACGAAAGCAACAACAGTTGCTGCATATAACCTCTCTTCGAATTTCTATCATGTCCTGGTAAATTACACATGTGCAAACACTGATCACGCCTACAAGTATGTGCCTCATAGAGCAATTCGTCACATGGCGATGCAGCAAATGAACACTACAAAACCGAGTTGCTTATAACATGATCTGATAGTTGATCAATTGGATGTTGATCTGCCCACCAAGCTTGACAACCTGCTTGCAGACGTTTCGTCAAGACGTTTCGAGGAGACTGCATCGGTGTGCCACTCAGTGCACTCGTGATTCTTCTCGAATGGTGACGAAACGTCTGCATGTCAGCTGCCAAGCTCGGCGAAGAAATTAACAGTCAGCTGATTAACTGCCAACGAAAACACTCGAGCTACTAATAGTTCAACACATTACGGGATCCACGAAGTATGAACGTGTGACGTAACACTCATCTAAACAGCTGGTTACCATACAAGTCTAAATCATGGCCGCCCCCACGAGACCGTCTCATATGGAAGGTATTTTGAGGTCTTTTACCCAAAAAATCTTATGAGTTACTCTGGTATACTTTTAGCGAGTGTACGGATAACTTTCTGACTGCTGTTTCTCTATCCTTGTTCTAGCCAGTGACGTGAGTGGTTGACGGAGTTCCGATGAGTACACCCAGACATTGGAACATCTAGTGTTGTTGCTCGTTGCCATGCTTGGACAGGAGGTTAGAATGTTTGGAAAAACCGACGATTCTAGTCCATCTCATTAAGCTGTTGAAATGACCAACTGGATCACCACAGATTCTGTAGATTATACGATCATAGTATGTGTACAGAGATGTGGACGTCAGAATCCAGAAGTAGGTTGATGTAACAAAGGGCGAAATGGCTCAGTGGTCAGAGCGCGAATTTACTGACCAGAAGGCCCGTGGTTCGAACCCGACCTCTGCTTCTCGACTTGCCCTGTCCAGGCTTGGGCAACCTGGCGGTATCCCAGCCCTCGTGCTTCTTTCTGATGGCATGACAGTTAGGCATCCAAAGTGTGCTACAGCTGAACGGGTGATGTAAAAATGCCCAGTCATGATGCAACAAAGTGATTTGTAGGGATTTTGAGGTGAAATGGCTACATCGATCTCGAGAAGACAAAAACCATAATTTCGTTACAACCATTCACTAATCTTGGTACTTTTACGTCCGATGATCGAAACAGTGCTCTTGAATTATGAAATCGATTTGTCACCCGATGACTGAAAACCCCCCAAGCTCATTCATTTGCAGGGAGTGGAGTGATGGTGAAAAATCCGAGCGGTGCTAGGATCTCAACGCAAGGCTTACTCAAGAGCAATGTGAATGTGTTCGCTGCAGGCTTTCCAATAAGAGTGAAACAGCTGTGCAACGCTTCTCGGTTCTGGCTTCATTGAAAAACGAAGTTTTGATTGAAAATGACCAAATCTCCTCATACTAGCATCTATCTATGTGGCTCAAAGCACGAATAATTTCAAGTGAATCTTCTGTTTGAGGGGTTCTCGCTGGAGGAGTCCACCAATAAGTGACCACGTGATGCGGTTTCTGTGATCAAAAGACGAATTTCTTCATATCCTGTCCAAATGAGAGCTAATCACACTGATGTTCAGCTGCTCGCGGCCGAACAGTTAGGTGTCCAACCATTGACAGGCAAGTCGGAGCACAGGACTCTGAAACTTCGCGAGATGCGCATTGCCAATAAGAAAGAAACAAGTGTGTAATGCTTCTCGGTTTTTCAGCATAGACCACCTTCGCTGACAGGACAAAAACTCAATTAAAGCATCATATACACCCCTCCCAAAACAGTTTTTCAACTGAAGCTTCGTACACCCCTCATTACTACGGGAATAATGTGAGTAAACCTGACGCCAGTTTAAACACGAAATGTTCGATCACGAACGGCTGATCAGCAATGTGGTTGGCTCTCAGTTAGACAGGATATAGCGCCAATCATGCTTTAATCACGGAATCCACAGCACGTGATCACAAATGTTGACTGGATTCTCGGGTACTGACCTCCCGAATGGAAGTTTGCTTATTTTGTGAAATTATTCTTCCTCTGGGCTATGATGTGGTCGCTCGTGGCCGAAGAGGAGTCCGGGGGTGGGAAACACCCTGGAGTTTCAAGAGACGCGCACCGCTGATATTCCCAATAGGGATGAAACAGCTGTACAACGATTCTCAGTTCTTCAGCATAGGTTGGCTTCAATTACAAGCGAAAACTCGATCAAAATTTGCCGAACCTCCTCACTACTATTAATCAGCTTGTCCCACGTGTGTAGTGCAGCCGAATGCAGTCGCACGCTGTTGGTCCAAAGGCATGAACAAAAGAATTCTTGGCTATTGGCATTACTTGATATTTGGGATTGCAACCAATTCCAACTAATTTTGCGGTCATGTAAACTTACCTCGAGTAACAGGCCGCGCTGAACTACTAGTTTTAACTTCCCCTACAAACAAAAGAGACACCTAACGACGTCACATTCGTAAGCCTGTAGTGTCAGGGCAAAAACCTGTGATAGTGGTTGCCGCTATCCCGCGTACGCACCAAATTCCACCATACAGTGCCTGAGTACATATTCTAAACAGATTGCTGAGAGTTTGGTCTGGTGATAAATTATCCAGAGGGACTAACTGATCACCGGATTTTCAGCAACCTTATGAGTAGTGCAAGACAAATGTTTACGTGTATCGCGATATCTCGAATATCGTAGCGACTGAAACATGAGGCGGCCTGGTGCAGCACATTCAGTTGCCTGAAAACATCATAAACGAGAGATTCATCTGGGTTCCAGGTGAGTCTCTTGCAAAACCAAATCAGTTTGCAAATGAGTGTATATTCGCTAATTTCGTGCAATTCGGTTTCAATTAGAACATAAGGTTGACAGAAACCCGGGGACTGCGCCTACATGATGAACCCCAAAAAGGGCGAAACCGGTCGTGGGCTGTCGACGGATTCTCAGCAACCTTATGAATAGTGCATTACAAATACATAACAGATCACCGTTTTCCTACTGTCAACCGGACAAAAGTTATTGGCCAGGATCCGTTCACAACATTACAACACCCAAACGTGGTCAGGTTTTAGAAAGGCAAGATAGTTTGGCACTAGATAGAACATAACCTTATATAGTGGCTCGAAACACGGTCTTCATACGCCTGTCAGATTTCGGTTACAACTTAGACCAAGCTTCCAGTCAGGCGATACTTCGAACAAATCAAACGTTCCTGAACGGTGTTCATCAGTGTTAGACTACCCTAACAGCACTTCGAAAGTGTGCTGCCCATAATGGCAAGGAGGGCGTAAGACGGATGAATTGGAAATGCTGTGAAATTCAGCCAAGGCGCTGCATTCCGGTGACTGCTGACAGTTAACCAATTTATCAGCTACAAACCGTGTACCACAGACACAATGGTTCCAGCTACTTCAGTTTAGATCACCGGAAAGTGGGAGAGTGTGGGACATAAAGCAAAGCCTTGGGGCCAGCGGTACGTTTGGTTGGTTCGGGAACTGGGTAGCTACGTATTGAAGGTGCTAGCTTTGATGCATGAGCGCCACTGACTGTACGATAGGCCATTTCTACCAGTGTCATTAACCTTTGGTGAGTGGACCACCAGGGTGCTCATCCAGGGAGGCGGCTAAGTTTACTGGTGCGTGTTTTCATACTTCGTTTCCAGGTCATACACTGTCCACCAGGACTGAGCCAAAAGAGCCCTGAGAATCAGACGGCTTTCTAGCATGCGGAGTACATGTCCTAACCAGCTGGGAAGTTCGTTCTTCCTAGGACGATCTATCTTACCTCAACGTTACTAAGCCGATGTTCCCATCAGACCCGACCACGGGTTCGGAGACATCTAATACTAATGGACTTTGCAAAAGCTGAATTATGCTTAATTCGGGTATGGCTTCAACTATTCTCAGTGGCGATTCGGGCACCCTTAGTGAACAGGTTTCTTGAGTAATCAGATCGGAATTGGTCAAAAAATTAATGAACAAATGTATAATTGATGATCCCTGTGATCTCAAAAGTATCCCAAATTGAACGAGTGTTTTTAATAGGATTTGGCAAGTTGTGCTGCAATGCGTGGTGCATTCTGGTGTCCTCAGTAGACCAGACAGACACCCTGTACAGATCATTCGTGACATTTCAAAGTGACTGTGTCACGAACTGTTCCCAGTCATCCGTATAATGTAGATGTCAGTGACAGAATACTGTCAGGATGTAACGAATGATCGTCCTAGTGCAAAACAGCGCCAAACAGAGGTGAGGAGCGCAATCAACTTATCTAAAATTACCGTACAGATAGTCGCGGCCGACGGAGAACTACGAATGGGGTACAAGCCGACAACAATCAAGGTTGCATATTGATGTTTTTACACAATTTTATTAGGAGTTTCAGTCTGGTCCTTAATTGAAGTACATCGACACACAAGTGTCAGGTCGGATCGAATGCTATGAAAAGAGACCGAATAAACTGCGAGAATAGGAGACAAACTGTGGAACGAGGGACGGAAAAACCTGGATTTGGGGACGGAGTGGGGAAAAACTGATCGTGCGTATACAGAAGAACTATAAGTGTGGCAATTCCACAACGAAGGAAAAAATAAAGAGAAATGAGAACCAAGGAAGGAAGGAACGAACGGGTGAACGAACGAAGAAACGCATTCACATAGGTGGATACCACCTTGTTGGGGTAATATCACGGGTGAAGGTCCGTTTGTGGAGGGGGAGAGGATGTAAAAAGAATACGGTTTAGACGGACACAATAACTAATAACAAGGAACGAGTTTATTAGATACAGTTTCGGGAAGCGCATACCGCACAAAACGTAAGTCAGTTGGTAAAAGCTGCCTGTGGAGTTGGAGTGTTGGCAAATGATTTGAGAGAAATGGCTACGGTGGATGAGCGCGTTTCCGCTGTGCATGGCGACAGGGAAGTGGAAAGCAAAAAAAGACCCTTCCCAATGGTTGACAGTCAGGAAGCGGAATAAAAACAAAGATGTGCAGAAACTTCAGAAGAAAAGAGGAGAGATAAACAAACAGGTCTGATTCGGCAGAACAGGAAAGGCGCCAAAAAGGTCGAGTGAATTGGGGGAAAAGAGTAGTGAGGTCAACCTATTTACACGCTAAATAGCATAGAACGATAGTGTTGATTGGGTTAATAACGGGAAACAGGTAGGTATAGAAGATTCTGAAAGGAGACAAGATTGTACATGAGAGAGAGGGCGAAGGGGAGAATGGAATGAGAGAAACAGATAAAACAGATGTACAATTTTGAGGGAGGGTTGTGGGAAACACTCACGAACATGCGTCCAATCATACGGGCAGCAAATATGGCATTGGAGGATGACTGGTCTGGATGGGGTATACTTATAAAGAAGCTCAGACTGTCAAGGCCAAGCGAAGGTGACGGTGTGGGATTGGCAGACCTTACTGGAGATATTAGACGAGATCATAAATATTGTGCACTCATGTGTAGAGCAGCGACGGAGTTCATAAGGGACCCGGTACAAATTTAATAACAATAGTGGGTGCGTCGACTAGATGCGGAAAAGGTGAAAATGACAGCGGACTATTTGATCGTGCAATAGTAAGAGAGGTCTTGTTAGGTTCAGAAAACGAGAAACACATCAAAAAGAAGTTGATTGGTTCATCAATTCGCACGAGTCCGTATGGATGGGTGGTTGAGTGATAAGGGGACATGGGAATGAAAGAAGAAGGTATAAGTTTGTGTGTACGTGAAGACACACGGTTTTCGTGAGTCCAACGTGATAATTATTTGGCAATTAGCGTTTTCGTTGTTTGCTGTTGGAACTACCACTGTGAGCGACCGCAAAGCCAGTGACTCCATCGGCGCTACCGCTACCACCGCCACCGCTGCTGCTCTCCAATCCTACACTTTCAGCTCTGGTTCGATTGTAAGGTGTTGAACCCCCGGCAAGGGAGGACGGACTGGAACCGACGGACGCGTTCGGTTTCGATTGACCTGGATCAGAGGCTGTTTCGCTGTGAGATCGGTTGCGCGCGGAACGACGAGCAGCGACTAGACCACTAACTTGTGGTGTAGGTTTCAACTCGAGCTCAACCAACAGAGCGAAGTGATCCGAAGGAAAATGGACATGGGGACAGCCGACAATCTTCCTTTCTGCGAACCAAGACTCATGGATCTGATCGAGACTGCCCAGCAGTCGAAAATGCTGGCGAGTGTAGAGCACGTAATCGATCATACCTTTGAACTCGTAGCTAGAAAGGAAACGAATCGGAAGTGGATATAGGGAAATTCAACAGAACTTACGCAAGTAACATTTGAAATAATACGTCACAGTCCAGCGGAAACCCGAAATTAAGCACTCAGCACTCGCTTTTGAAAGAAACGGAGCTCCAGTTCAGCTCAGTTAGGTTGCATCCGGCTGTTCATCGCCATCACCATCAAGATTGTGATTATTTTGATGATGCTGAATCATCAAATTTGTGGTTGAACGGAAGAGTTGAGGAACTATGGCATCGATGGTGACACCTTTGATCAGAAAACGCTGTTAGGTGCTTGATTAATCGTGATTCCCAAGCCCGTCTCCACTAGTTTATATTTCCCAGAGTATCCATTAGTGAAGACGCAGTTCTGACGTGTGAGTGACGAACTATTTCGTTCTACGGAGAGGGAAAAGGCTGTGTGAAGCAGGCGACCCGCTGACAGAGGAGTCACGTGACCTATCATGGGTGTGAAATTTTTCCTGTGAAAACTGTCTGAAGTATATTATTAGGGCTGGGCAGCAAACTAGTCGCGTCATCGCATTGTTTAGCAAACATCAGCATTCTGTTGTTCAGTTACTGAGCGGATTACAGTTCAACAACAGGAAGTGAGAGTGAAGACGGAAAATTCGTGATATCTGGTTAACTGCGATCCCATAAAATACTTTCAGGTTTACTTTATGGGAAATATTGCTTGAAAACCAACCAACACAAAAATACCAGGTATGATCCCAGCGGACAGAACAAGTACACAATGAACAGAGGCGAGCATGACGGTGCATACTTACGTGAAATTCGTCAGTTTCATTCCCTGCGATTCGCGATAGGCTCGATCGAAAGCAAAACGATGGCGTAGGGTGTCTCCATCCACGGCCCACTTTTCCAACAACCGCCAATCTTCGAACATGTATTTGAATCCATTGTTGAGGAAGTCATTATGTGTTTTGGGCAAACTGCCACGCATCAGAAACTCGACAACCCCGGACTCAGGCAGAGAATTCAAATCCCCACACAAAATAACTGGCATATTGGCTGCGGGCGAGGAGGGACCAGGAACCGGCAGGCGGGTAGATAATGGTGTGCTGCGCGAGTTGGTTGGGGAACTCCGATCCAACGATTCCACAGAGCCGGTCAAGAACTGATCAATATACGCCCAGAGTTCAGCGGTCCACAGAATGGTCTGAATCATCTTCACATCAGAGTGCTCCGGATCCCAGTGAATGTGACCGGTGGTCACGCAGAACTGGCGTCCTCCTGTCCCATCGGCACCTACAGGGCCAATGTTACAGAAGAAACAGTGCAGCTAGTTGAGTGCTAGCCAATCAAGGGTAATATGCCGCTCTCTATGAAATAGCGGTATATTAGTAAACACACTAGCTCTCACAAAAAGTGGGCGGTGTTGACCACAGGGTTGGCCTAGTTGGTCAACCTTGCTGTTAAACCACTTCAAGTGTAAACCGATCACGTCCATCGACTTGTCAGTGAATCTACTAGTAGGTAGGCATCTACATAAGTACACAGCCTTTTGTAGAAAATCAACAACCCAAAATTACCACTGCTCATTTCACCCTGATAAACCACGTTCCGCTGACCATTGACTGATGCCTCCAGACGCCATCCACAAGCGTCTGTTACAACCAGTTGCATTCACTTAATACTGGTTGCTGGCCCCTGATACGATGACTCTTAGTAATCGTGTAACGATAAATCAACACGCGACTAGCATTAAGGTCCACACATTCAGCAACATACAGTAAACTTCCTCAAAAAAGCCTGTCTCCTTGAAGAGGGTTCACTGTTGACACGTATTCCCACCACATTCCCTATCTCCGGAGACGTCACCCTCAACAGATTTCGGCAACAAATCGGACCATATAGCGATTCTCAACGATATCAGTCAAGGTGCACACGCCAATCTGCACATGGCTTCTCATCAGATCATGACCTGTTTAATGCAGCTAAACACTTATCTCGAGTTCAAGACTAAAAAATAGTGTTAATATTTAGCAACTTGAGCTGCAACTACAGACATCAGGCTTCTTAAATTCCTCCTTCCTAGTCTTTGACGTTATCTATCCTACGAAATGAGTGAGTTATAAGCAAAAATCACGGCCAACAGTGGCGAATCGACGTAGCCGAGCGGACGGGAAGTTCATTCGAAGCAACTTCCTAACAAGATTAGGGGGCCAGCTTATCTAAATAATAGAATACTTTAAGGCACTGGGTCCAGCTTATCTACTTCGCTATCACGGGCCAATCACAGAATACTGACATTTGCTTTACTCTTTTCAGCCTTGCAGAGTGTATAAAGGAAGGTATTAGCAACAAAGTGGAAAGAACCCCTAGTTAAGATTAGGTTATCAGAGCCGAGGAAGACAGGTGTTTAAGGTGCTATCTGGTGAATTCCGATGAGCGAGATCGCACAGACGGACAACAGTTTAGGGTTTCGACTACACATCTACAGAGGTTGGTTCCATTTTTACAGATTGTTGACTTTCCATTTGACCTAGTTTTGAGGGAGAATCCCGATACAGATCCAGCGACTGAATCTCTAAAGAGCATAATTTTACTGTGTACAGAGAGTGCGAGGTTTGGGCCTGAGATAAAAGCTCACTGAAAACGGATGCCATTGAGGTGAACAGTCCACTTGGTCAAACATTAGGTCACTGAAAGACAACCTACCTCACAAGCTGTGTTTGGGGTGCGTCATGTTGATAATGTTCTTATCATCACTGATATTAAATAATTTGAAGAGTTCCATGATAATATAACCCTCATCGCTTGAATGTACTTGTAAACAGGCGTGTTGCTGTCGAGAAATACACTTATTTGCAAATCAATTTGGTTTCCACAAGAGACTTAACTGAATCTCTCGTTTATGATATTCTACAAATGAATGTGCTGCACACAGGCCGCCTCGTGTTTCGAGATATCGCAGTATATTTTCATAAACCAAAAACAGAAAGCAAATTTGGCCTTGAAACTGGTCTGCACTGCTGCATAACTACACGCAGTTCAAACTACGACACAGCGAGGGTAGATCGTCAGACTTATCTTCCACTCGTGTAATTTATCGGTTCCTTCGCGGTTGTGGAGACATCCACATCGACAGAAGACACCGAATTTTATTAGAGCACGTGGATGAACACGCCACGATACGGCCTTAGAGTAATGGCGTGGGTGATTCTGAGGGGAGATATGGTTTCTTCATGAATCTTCTGTGAGGTGCTTCCGGGTTTTGACAACCGATGTCTCAGAAATGTTGTTCGTATCGGAAGACATAAATAAGTTCGTAACAAGCTATTTAGAGTGCAGGTACATGGTTGTACGGCGGGTACTTTAGTTGCGGAAAACATCCAGCACCATCAGCTGTGGTGGTCCTGCAGGTGCTACGCATGCCGAGCTGGGTAGCGAGATGGCTCAGTGGTGAGAGAGCGAATTTACTGACCGGAAGGTTCGTGGTTCGAACCCGAACTCCGCCTCTTGACTTCCCCTGTCTAGGATTGGGCAACATGGCAGTATCCCAGCCCTCGTGCTTCCTCTGAGTGGTATGGCAGTTAGGCATCGAAAAGGTGTTACAGCTGAACGGCTATCTTTATTATTTTATTATACCGGAACATAGTCCACCGAGACGAGTACTATTTTATGCGTTCCGTTACAAACGGCGCAAACTATGAAGCGGACAGCGTGTGGTTTGGGAGAATGACTCGAGAGATTACGAAGAGTTTGAATGTTGTTGTTTCGGTCCACCTTCCAGGATGGGGTTCTCGCAACCGGCTGGAGAAATTGCAAAAGACAGCTGTAACACCCTTTCGGTGACTGGCTGTCGTGCCATCTGAAAGAAGTAGGCGGGCTAAAATACTGCCGAAGCGGCCGAGATGCAGAAGCCGGGTTCGAACCACGGGTGCTTGGTGTGGCGGGTTCGCAAAATACTGCCGAAGCGGCCGAGATGCAGAAGCCGGGTTCGAACCACGGGGTCATCCGGTCGGCAGGTTCGCACCTTAACCACAGGACTATCTCAAGCGCGAAATTCGGTCGGTTTCTTACCAGGTTATCGAGGTGTAGACACCTCAGAATGTTTGCGGTGCCGGATCCCTTGTTCATCCACTCTTTTGCCTTTTTCCACCCTAAGGCTTTAACCATAATTACATAAACTTTACGGCTGCATACAACTGAAGCATACATGTCGACATTGGTGTGATGGTGATGAATAGTCCGGGATGTTCAGCCATCAGGCATTTGTAGCACCGAGAGGGCCTGAAAAAGTCGTCATGTGTGTTAATGTGTAACTGAAGCACAAAACTACTGTCAGCCTGCGGGGCTTCGCTCATCAAAATTCACCAGGCAATACGGTGTACACAAAAGCTTTTAAGCAAAACATACGGCTCCTATGGTTTCAGTCATGTGACTTTGCATTGTTCAACTGTATATTGTCTGTTCGTTCCACTTTGCTGCTGATGCTGCACGTCCATGTGTCGCAGCTGGACAGAGTAGAAGAATTTGTTGACAACTCACGTTTCATGTCTTCTAGGTACGCTAAACAACTGAGTTCCACCAAAAACGTCTAGGGTTTTATAAATGTGTTGCGACTTTCAGCAACCTGCTAAACGGACGTCTGATGAAAGGCAAAATGTCCGAAGCTAGTCTACCCCCAAGAGAGGCCAAATTAATCACTTCCCGGTGGTGGTTCCGATTCGGGAAGGGGGTATCGTCATTCCTTATTCGCTTAGGGAGCAGTGATTGTAGACATCAATTTGTCATCGAAATTTTCGCACAGAAGCATGTGTGCAACCTCCCACCTTGTACAACTAACGATTTTGTATTAGTCATCAAAGTGCGCCTCATCTGGTTGTATCTGTAGATAGTTTGCCACCATTCATTCCAATACATTATAAATCTGTTTAATTCGAGACTGATAATCAAGATTGTCAGTGGGAGTCACATGATCGCTGCTGATTTAACAAGGCCACGTGGACTATTGGTCAACTGAATGACGGGTGGACATTACATAAAGCTTACGTCAGCTGTTGCTGGTTATTCCGAGAGATCAAGTTTTCCCGCCATTTAAATGCATCAGAGGCGAAAACAACGCAAGGCAGGTCGCTAGAGGGGTAGTAAATGCTATAGCTCGAAGGAACTACAAATTTCGGTTTGCGGAGTTTAAATTTATTTATAGGATTTGTTCGCACACATTATCTTAAGTGATTCATATACACGGATAAAACGGGTTTGTATATTGATCGACAGAATCGCACGGCAAATTAACTGTTCAGCAGTTACGGCTCAGGCAATGCACGTTTGACTAGTCTATCTGGGAAAACCTGGGTTTTCTGTTTAACATTTTCTAGATGACGCCATACAGTATAATCCCGTTATGCTGTCACTTGTTAGCACCCAAGAGTTTACGAAGACGATTTCTCGATTGTAACTCCACTATCCGTCAACTGTCACATGGACCACAGGGGATCCAGCGCGCATTTTCACCGAAGTCGCGGATTTGACGATTGATTCCCACCGGGTTCGTTTGAAGATGGCGTGATTACGGCTAGTCGAATGACGCATACAGGTGTTACAGATGACATTCCAACGTGGCCGTCTGATGTCATCAGAGAAGGCGCATACAAACAACAATCAGCGTGAGGTTACTAATCTAACCATCATTGTGGTACTGATCACAACTACCGGGTGCCGTAAATAAGCGTAATTCATCTCGCGCATCGTCACCGATGGAGTCAGCTGGGTCGACTCATGAAAAAGCATGAAACGGCGAATCTCCTACGACAAAAAGCAACGAACCAGAAGGCACATCCGTAAGGAGGACATGTTTAGGTCATATCAACCAGTGGATCATTGCGGTAATTAGCCTTAGCAACAATAGTTAACACTGCAGCAGCAACTGAACGAGGTACCTCAGATGGTTGGTTCTGACAAAAATGCAAGGCAAGCAACAAGGAAACAAACATAGAGTTACAGTCTTTTGAAGGCCAAGCAGCAGTACAGAGAGCACCGATCTGAAAACAGTTTACACCAATTTAGAACGAAAGGTGGTAAAGAGCTACGTAGTGAATATGCCTTCTATGAAATCACGTGAAGCCGGCCACGCAACTTTCGCAACAATATTGCGAGCTCAGCAAAGAAAAACAGGCAAAGTTACGAACATTCTCTCCTGTGGCAAAAATGGACTATTGGTTTGGCAATTTTTGTTGCTACCAGTACATTCTGTGAGGGATCGTAACGTTCTTTATCATCCTGCCACCAGTACCAGATTTTGTGGTGCAGTTATTGGTTGGACACATTATGGAAAGCCACCATTAGCCCGTCTTACATATATCGTGAAAGCAAAGCAGTTAACCGAAAGGATCTTCGTCATGCGAAAGAATGATCGCTGCAGAAGAGTGGCTTTCCAATAGTATGGGTTAAAAAGTTCCACGCAGTCGTTATTGAGGGAATGGTCAAAGACTCAGCCTTGTTGAGGACTTAAATTCCAGGTTTGGAGGTACAGCATTCCTTTATTCGAGAGAACCGCGCAATAAAAGTTATCAAGGAGAGAATATCCGTTTTTGTAACTGCCGTCGAAGGAACACCCTATAAGAACCGTACTGGATCCCCTGAATAACTGGCTTTCCACTCAAAAGAAAACGTCCCATGCCAGTAACCTATATCCATTATTTAACCATTACAGTAAGGAGTTTAGGTCATCAGCACAGCCGGTTCATCCACCCACCACATTGGTGAAGCACGTTCGACTGAACTTTGACTTGACTTATCTGATAGGTCAGTGTTGGATGGGCAATGAAATATTCTACGACTGAAGGATAGAAAAAATGCAATGCCTGGTAGCACAACATTGCTCGAGTTTCCGAGAACCAACACTGTCCTGGTAGTTGCACGAGTTTGGCATATGTGAATCGGGACGTTGTACTCAGAGTAAAAGGAAGACACTTTCATGGGAAACACCAAGACACATAAAAACATGGTTCATAGTGATAGACTTCTCACGAAGAAATATTTTATTGGCTGTGGATCAAATGTTCGTTGATCTAATTAGCAAAAATGGCATTTGTTTGGGAATCGCTTCGTCATATGAGGAAAAATAGTCAGTGCGCACCTACTGTTTCCTCGAGAACTAGGTATACGGAAGATCCCATAAATACCAATAGAAAAGTTAGGAAAGCTCTTGATATCGAATGGATTCTGAGTAAGCCCTTGTGTATTTCGTTTTGTATGAAGAGTGACTACTGTATCCCGTGTCGGTAAGAATTACGAAAATAAAAAAGGGCATGCTGAGTATTCAAGTTACTGAATGGTCCTCAGTATTTCGAGCAATTGATTTCGAGAAAAGGCCTTACTAACAAACACTGTTATAAAAAGGCTACCACGGAGTGTAGTCTCCTCTCCAAGAACAACATTGGTCCACGGGCACTTACCTGTGGACCCTTTTGTTTCAAAAATTACACCCAGTGCGACATTGTCCCGAGTCATCACTCGATCTAGGATCAATGGAGTCGGTTTCTCACACACGTTCGAGCAGGAGATCATGAATTCGTGATGAAACTCGTGAAGTTTTTCGAACCTGTTGAAAAACAAATAACAGAAGGGGTGTGAACCTGCGAACTGAGTGTAGGGTGAACAAGTTACGCGTGGTGACAATCACATGTGAATCGCATTTTAGAGCTGTTCGAAGCTAGCAATCTCTGACTGATTTCAGATGTTAGGATCGAGGATTAAACCGACCAAGAGACGGAAAGACACAGCAAACCACGCACAATTAGACACCGTCGGCTGCTCCTTAAATTGAATAGTGTGATCATACTTCCCTCGGAAAATTGTTAGGCTAGCTGTGTTTGCACTGGAACCCACATGTTAAGGGAAACGATCATCAAAAGTACGTACGTAACACCTCTACAAACAGGTCTGTACCTGGTTGTAACACGGCACAAAGACTACATTTTGAATTGTTTTTTCCAGCCAAAGGTACTTGTCGAACGATACATCCTCTTGGAGGGATCACAACAGAGAAAGCGGTACGCGTCCTCTTTTCGAGAAGGATCAAACACGTCATGACTGAAGAGTAACGCTGCTCTGGAATCCACAAAAAAACAACCTCCGTACTGACCCAAAAGACAGATGACCAACAACACGCAGACTACCTTACTCGGTACATAGCCCGCCAGTACAGCGAAAAGCTGGTCGTTACAGACGCTGTGGATAGGATTGGGTTTTGGCCGAATAGCGACGCCTCGGATCAGTAGTTTTCCACCTTCTCAATGGATGTACGGACAATAGCGTCGCAGCCTCGGAGAAGTGCTAAGTGATTCTGGACACATTAATTATGCGAAAACCCACGAAACTACATTCGGTGTCGGATTATCCTAGCCCAGAAAAACCAACTTAATACAGAAATATTTTTCAAAAGAATGCTTTCAAGAAGACATCCCAGTTCTTTTGCAGTGGGAGACACCAGTGATGCCAAAGATAGTTACTTCCATGAAAAGAAAAAAAACTGGTAATCCAGGTGGAAAGGGCACTTTTTGCGTACGATAAACCATACAGCCTCGGACTACGGGGAGAAACTGGACAAACTGAGGCTAGTGAAAGATATCCGCATGAATTCTCACGATGTTGGCACTAATTGATGTTAACAGGAGACTCAACTAAACCTCTCGTTTAGGATATTATCCGGTGTTAGGTGAAAAAAGGCTGGTGGAAATTCGGAGACTGAGTGACTCTACCTGATGAGCCTCAACAAGTGCCAAACTGATAGTGGGCTGCCAGGAAATTCGATTCGACCATATAAGGAGCGCTACAACAGCTGCAGCTGTACGATGGTTCAAAGTCCCTCCATGTTATTCCAGAAAGAGCACCTCGGACCGGAAGGGGCACCTATAGCATCGCTGTGTTCAGGCACAGAAGCCGTGAGTAACTTCGTTTGAGCCGCCATGTTGAAGCGTTTGAGAACTATGAAGTAGCTCAGAAGTCAGTTTGCTGAGAAACACAATTCCAACAAGCGACTATTGCGTGTAAGGCACTATTGATACTCACTTATCTGTTTGCCAAAATATTGCACATCCATCCACTTTCTTCCCATCTTTCGTGTCCATCGTGCGACGCCGACTCTTCGGCAAAAATACAGCGTCGTACTTGAGTTTCTCCAGTTCCGGTTTGAAAATCTCCTCGAACTGGTTGGTTTCCACTTCCTGAAATGAAAAACACGTGATCAGTCAATGAGAAAGGGCGGAAGGACAAAGAAAGCAGCATGGAGGAAGTGGCATTATCAGAAATGGGGGGGGGGGGCAGGGATGAATGCGAC